GAATTGATGGAGCCCTTGGGGACACAGGAGGCAGATTTTTGGTGCATAAAACACTGTTTAAACTCCACCTTATTTCTGTAACAAAACATATTGCTCTGCTGTTTTCTTCCTGCAGAGAAAATCCTGAATTTCAATCTTCTTTTTTTATAACTTTAAGAGCTCTTTTTTTTATATGCTTAAACATTGTCAACCAATCAGTCATGTGTGTCATGTTGATATTTCTTTCATCCTAATGGTGGATTTGTCAGTTGTATCACTCTGTGAAAACAAAAGTATGTTTCTGCAGCTTTCTCCTCATCTAACACCTACCCCCCCCCCATAGCAAATTTCAGACATTGACAAAACCTTTCCTGAAATAATCGGCCTTCCCACTGATGGTCTCGTTTCGCTAATATAGAAGCATCAGTATTAATTTAACCCTTTTTCATAACCTTCTAAAAACTCCTTGAAGGTGCTTTAATATCCTAAAGACTTTGAATAACACTCCCTCTAAAAACACTCTTTCAACCTTTTTTTTAGAAAAAAGGGCACACTCTGTTTTAGCTGACTTTGCACTTCGCTTGAATTTTGTGTTGCATACGGCTAAATCCTCCTCATGTTACACTTTCATTTGAATTCAGGATCGCTGACGAGCTCACACACACACACACACACACACACACACACACACACACACACACACACGGGGCGCACAAACAAGCCAAGTGGCATGTTTTATTTATGAATGAAGAACCTGCGCAGGGTGTATTGTGTCCCTCATGTTTGCTTTAGCAGCGAGCCAGAGATCCGCTCCCGGCTCCCTTTGATTAGGCAAAGAGCTGCAACTGGAGGGAGGGGGTGTGTGTGTGTGTGTGGGGGGGTGTAATGAAGAGATTATTGAGCCCCCTGAACTGTACCCCAAACCTTGCACAAACACACACAAAACACACACTGTGTTGTACAGTTGCAGATGGACAGTCTGCAGAGTCAGAGCCCACACGCACAAGCACTTAACCTGATAGCATTGCTTTTATTTTATTGGAGGCAACGTTGCAGGCACAACAAGGAGAGGCAGAGGTCTCTAATTAATTTAGTGTCCTCTGTGGATGTTGGAGGATATCAGGGGGGTTCGCATCTTCTAGTAATTCAGCTCGGATGAATACCATTACCATCTAATGCGGTCCAATTACAGGGGCAGGCTGCATTCTGGGCTCCAGTGCTTTTAATATGATTTTAGACATATGACTCGATATGAATTAGGTGCATCTCTTATTCCATGTTTTTCATTTATTTCACTAAACATAAAGTGTATTGAAATCAATAGCACCCTGCAGTGCATTCAATCTAAAGCTGTACATGCTGTAAAGGTGATGAATTCAGTCACATCTGGATGGATGCATGGATATTTTTTGATCAAGCAGGAAATGAAAGCGCCTCGCCTGTCTCGGAGGTCAAATTTAATCCTGAAACACCCAATCTGGTTTCTCGTTTCAGATATATGGCTCAGTATAAAAGGCAGCCTGGGCCATTTTATAGATTACATGTCCCTTTCCATTTCATATTGCTTCTACCGAACTACTGTATTGTTTGTCAGCCCAGGGCTTTGTTGAGAGCTGCAGGTTTTATTCCGGGAAAATGTTGCCCCCTGCAGGCCAAACAAGGCACCGCATGCCGTTCTTTTGCCAGGGCCAGTCAAGTGAGAGGATTATGTCCTCAATCGTCGGATTAACCAAAGTAAATGTTCTCACAGAAACTTGCCAGGCGTGTTTTCATCCTCTCTGTGTGTTGACTTTGAGAGATCTTCCCAGGGCTTTGCATGAAGACGCGCTGCCTTTTCTGAGGACGTCAAATATGCTTTCAATTAGCACCAGACAATAAACATTTCAGCCCAGAAACACTGTAATGTATTGCTGGGGATTTCTGGCCGCATAAAGATATGGTAATGTTTGATTTAATGGCTTCAGGGCCTTGTTAAAATGCTGAAATTATATATTGAACAAAAGCAATAGAGGGCCCTTTTTTTACTACCATGCACACCATAAATCCTGTGTTGTTATGGAGGCAGTTGGCGAGGCTCTGTCAGCAGACACAGAGTGGTCGGTGGTTTATGCCTGGGGTGTTGGTGAGGCCGGGTGGGCAACAAAAATCAGGGCTACTGTGCTTTTGTGTGAATCGGGACCAAGTTGCAGAACACTACTGTACACATTTATACATATTTATACACGTGGAGCTGCAGAGAAAAAGGCCTTTGTGCTTGTTTGTAATTTTGTGATATTAAGCTAAACTGAATTTGGATGTGGCTGTTTTTCTATGCCATGTTTGTATCATTAAATATTGTTGAAGTTAATCTAAATAATATGCAGCCGGTATGACCTCCTTTTTTATGTTTTCATCTTTTTGCCAATTTTCCTCAAAGGAAAAAAAACAAAACAAAAGACGAGCCAGAAAATCATTGGTTTCACTCCAGATCTATAGGTCCACTTCTTGGCAGGGGGACGTTGTGCTTTATGCTTCTGTGGATTTACAGCCGCCATTACTCCCGAGAGCCTCCCTGTTGTGTGAAGAGAGGCTCCGCATAGTAGCCCTCAGATTTATGGCTGCAGCGAGGACCAGAACTGGTTTTAATGGTGACTTGGGTTTAATATTCTCACCCAGTTAAAACCTGCCAGTTTCACTGTTGCACTGGAGACAATATAGTCACAGTGAAACATGTCCATTTTCTGAAATGCTGGGGGAATTTACAGGCATGCTTTCCAGTTGTTTTGACACATTAATTCACAATTCGATTACATGATGTTGCTTTAAATCCTGGCTGCAAACGTTGGTGATAACCTGACTAGTTCTGTGTGCATACAGGCCCTTTCTTCTGCACCTTTCTTTCCTCTTTTGCACCACTAGATGTCAGTATAATGCTGGCCTGTGGAAAAGAAACCCCAGCATTGTACCCTTTATGCCTAACAAATGATAAACCCTGATTGGTGCTTAACATGGAAAGGGAGAATACGATTTGAATCTGTCTCCTCAACCTGCATTACAGACTATTTCTACAGTTCAAAATGCCAATTCCTGCATATAAATCTTCCGCAGGAGTCGCTGATCTCACCTTTTTAAGACGCATGATGATATGTAATCTTCAACCAGGCACTGACAGGATAATCCCCTCCTGAATTTACAGCCAGAGAATGACTGGTTTGCAGGCAGCGCTCCAGTCATAATGTCTTAACACTTCAATAAAGCCAAACAAATAAGATGGAGTGCATTCCACATTCAAGCATCTTACTCAGCAATAATGGCACCTTGGTGTGCCAAAGAAGAAACTTCTCCCCCTCCAGTTGCCATAGGTTATTTCGAAACTCTGTGTTTTCAGCTGATACTCCCGACACGATGGTGACAGATGGTTGATAACTTAAACCAGCAGCTAAGAAAATGCAGCTTTGTCATGAATTGACAGCTGCAAACGATGCCAGGCTTTTTGTGTAGAAACAGCCTGTAAGAGAAACCGCCTGTAAGAGAATGAGCTGTTTTGCTAGGCTGGTGGCGGTCGCTCAAATCACTCGCCATCTTCCTCACGATTGCCAAGCTTCTCCTCTCCGAAGAAGGAGAGCGCGCCAGCGAAGGGTCATGGCACTTTCAAGTGGATTTTGAGGCGAGGATGGGTCTTTCTTTCGGTAGCAGATGGCTAAGAAGAGAAGAATCTCATTAGACGAAGGGAAAGATTTTAATTTTGGAATTGTCTCTGGCTAAAAAAAGAACTCTGCAGAGTTTCCTGATGGGAATGATTGGGGTTAAAAGAAAAAGCTGCAACATTCGGTGATAAGATTGAGAAAGTAAAAGGTGTCACAAGTGATTGAGCTTAAATCTGGCACCTTTATTGCAATGAGCTGCTCACCATTTTCAAATACTGTCTTTACTTTTCTTGTGAACAGAAGTGGTATGACCGACTTCATTTAGATTTTGGTTTTTAGAAGATATTAAAAATAAGGAGAGTAGGCTGGGTTTCCCACTCTTAAAGTTACTTTTTTCCTCCAATATTACAGTCAAATGTTCCTTTTCCCAGCCATTACTTTTGTAATTTTTAATTTTTTTTATCCATATAGGTGGCAACCTAAATTTTACCAATAATGATTTATTTTGTGTGTTGAAGTGTCACTATACATTACATTCAAAGGCAAAACCATGTCAGAAATTCATATTTGCTATGTAACAAAGTGGCAGATCCATAGATACAGATATTTATCTCTTCTGTATAGTTTATAATACTGTTAAAAATCATCAAAGCGTTAAGATTTCCGTTTGTAACTGTCTATAAAGTCTGTATCTCTGGTCTTCATAGAGTGGATTTTATGCAAAGACATCACCATGAGTTCTTTTCAATTCAATATAAATCAAACATTTAGTAATCTTAGCTCTTATTTCCCCCCTTTTGCAAAGTTTTGCTTCAATAACACTTAATAATTCATGACTCGTGCAAGAACAGAGCAACGTGTGAGTTGAAATAAGAGAGCAAAGATGGCGGCTGTTCCAATGGCGAGCATTGTTTTGAAAGTTGGGCAGTTTCTAAGAGCGCCCGGAGTAGAGTACAAGTGAGATACCGATTGAGGCGTGCAATACCCAAACCGTGACATAGTTTGACATTTAGTGTGCACTTTGTGTCACAGCAGCAAAAGAAAAGGAAGTTCATGACAAACGCTTGGAAGTAAAAATGTCAATCTTAGAGCGTAAATGTCATCATGTCCTTCTTCTCTTATTTTCTTTCACCTCTAAAGAATATAACATGAACAAGAATATGATTTTTAACCTACATGAGCTTAATTATTACGTAAGCCACAGCTTCCAGTTACCCTTTACCAATGAGGGTCAGAAGTCAAGGTCAGCAGGAGAAATGGCTCCAGAGGATCCAGAGACTAAAGAAGTGTAAATATGTCTCAGGGATGATGAGGGGATGATCTTTTGAGCCTTTAAGAGGCCCCCTCACATTGCACCAGAGAGATGACCGCTCTTCTATTTGTTTGCTTCCACAGCGAGAAAAGCTGATCCACGAGCTAGAGGAAGAGCGACGTTTGCGACTGGAGAGCGAGAAGCGTCTCCGGGAGGTGACGGAGGAGTCCGAGCTGGGACGGGCGCAGATGGTCTCACTGCAGCAGAAATTCTCCAGGTAAGACTGAAGCTCGGATGTAGAGACCCTTCAATCCTGGTTTCCTTCATCACATACACTTGTTGCTACTTTTATTTGCATACATTTTTTTTTTTGCTCCCCATAGCTTTCCTTTCTACTCCCTTGAACTTATTTACCATCCTATGAATTGCAGATGAAGTGTTTTAGAAACACTGATGCCAAGAGTTCAAATTCCTTGAAAGTACTGGAATCAGCTCATAAAACACCCACTATATGCACGTTTTATATGGAAATATACAAACAGCCCTTTAGAAAACACAAAGGGGACATGCCCTAGTCATCTCTTTGCTATAAACTTTCAACAAGAGGCACAATGTCCTTTTAAGAAGTCGAGATCCATTGGAAAGATTTTATGTCAAACATGACACAGGCGAGTGAAAAGCTGGAATACTCGCACAGAAATGAGGTTTTTGACTTAAACGTTTCTTTCCTTCTCCAGTAAAGTCATTGATTTTCAGCAGTCATTTTCCCGCAATCAGCACTTTGTCTTTAAACCCATGAAAATCAATATGGGGTTCTTGACTTTGCCATTTCGTCTGAGTACTTTTCTGATCATCCTCTTGGTCCTTTGACCCTCATATCAGCGAAGAACTAATGTGATGCACGACTTCTACTTCGAGAATGGACTTTGTGAAGTGTGCAGCGATCAAACAATCCTCTTGTCACAACTTGAGTAACCTCTGCTTCATGAGCTCGCCCTCCATCCTGCAACCGCCAGGGTGTGACGGAGCGGGCCGCCCCAAAGTCTCAAACTTTTAGCCGAGCCGATTCCTTAATTAAGCGATAGGCTTTCAGCACTTCACCCGTCCAAAAGCAGAAGAAGCAGAGTCCAGAGGATTTCACATTAACTGCTTATCTTCTCATTACGTTGGCGGAGAAAATCCTGTACATTTTAATGGTCCCGATGTTGTGGTGGAGATGACTGCCAGGAGAGGACTTCAATATTTAAGAGCCATTCTGAAGATTTATCTCATTTTTGAAATGTTCCACTGATGCTACTGTATTAAACTTTGGAGGGATTCTTGCTTCTTTACATGCCTTTTTATAAAAGCAATTTGCTGCATTGCACTTAACAATCCAGATACAAAAACAGCCTTTCTAAGTTTGCAAGCAATCTAGCACAAGTGTCTTGAGTTAGGGTTAGGGGCTTCCTGAAGGGTACGGTTTGTACCGAATTGATCGAATTTTTCTTCATTTGCTATGTCAGTCGTGGTCTGTACAGTATCTGACCTTCAAAATGACAGTTTACAGGTAGTTTCCAATTGGTATAGCATGACTCTCAGTTCAGTCTGACGGAATATAAATCATCACAAATCCTCCATAAACCTGTCTGAACCCATTTTATATGTCCAAAACATCTCGCTGCACCTGTTCCCCCTAACTTTTCCCAGAGTAGTATTGGTGCTTCTGACCTGTCTGACCTGTGTATGGACTCCTCTCAAATATTACCAAGAAAAAGGTGATAATATTTGTGGAGATGTAGTGCACTCATTCTTGGAGGAGGACTCCTAAAAAAGGGGGGGGGGGATGTTGCGGTGAATTAGTAGATAGAGGAGACAGCAATATGAGAGTCCATGTCTGGAGAGGAGAAAGGGAATGTACTGCAATTCTATTAAGTAGGATATATATATATAAAGCTTATCCCTGATTGGGTGCCGCACAGGTCCCCGCAGAGACAGATGAATTTGTCGCCATGGCAGGGGTCGCCCAGATGGATGGTTCTCATTGGGTGCCAGGCGGCTGCTGCTGCTGCTGTAGCGAGCACACTGTGGCTGTGCAATATAGACAAAAGATTCCATTATGTCCTCAAAAAGTGCTTATCGAAACGAGGGAGCCAACCTCGCCACCTCACTCAGCTGTTGTCATTCCAGCAGCGCCGCTCATTGTCATCATGCTGGATTGCTGTAATTTTCACGGCTGTCTGTGTCGTCGATGGTCTTGTTGTTGTTGCTGCTGCTGCGTGCGGGGAGGGGGGGGGGGGTGCAAGGTTCAGCAGCTCTCCCTTCCACAACTTAACGAAACTATCTCCCCCGACCTCCTCGCAAACAAGCTAACGGGATTTCAGTCTCACTGTCAAAGTCTTTAATCTTTGTTTAAGCGTTGCTGAGTGCTTATCTGAATGTGAATGAGTTAGCGCACTAAGCATCCTGTGTGTGTGTGTATGTGAGGAGTGTGTTTACGCATACCTGGCCCTTCAGTGGATTAACACGCTTACACGGCAGCCAATACCTGCTGGCTCTGCGCCCTTGTGGCAGATGGGACATCAGTTAGGTCACTTTAATTAGCGACTTTACAAGCCAGCAAAAGGAGGAGAAACAACAGAAAGAGATCTCGTCGGCGAGGCTTCCAACCATCGTCTTCCTATGAACCTGTGCCCTGGTTGCATCTCTTTGTTGTTGTTGTGCTGTTTTTACAGTTAACGATGGCGTCTGGATACACCAAATCAACATGCATGCACATTCATTGAAGTCCATCTGACGCCAGCGAGTCCTATCTTCCACCGCTCACGTTCTGCGACGCTTCATCCATATCTCCTGATTGATTTAGGCTGGTTATTTGTTGTGCATTAAGGGAATAGAAACCTCAGTTCATCAATGTGTCTTTTGAGATAGCACCCGCAAATCATGTTAAGTGGACGTCCAATCTTTTAAATAGACTGGGATCTGCTTGACCTCAGGCAACGATTGATTTGCGTATCGCTAATTAATTGAGGTTGTGCTTTGAATCACGACTATGGAAGCAAAATCACACTGGTAACAGGCGTTTTGAGCGATTTTAAAGGCGAGCCAAATGTTTCAGCGAAGATATGCAAATTAGACTTTTAAATGGATTTCTCAAACCTTGCCAAAAATTGGGTCCAGTGCTGTCCTGGGTTTCATTCAATGCTTTTTTTTTTTTAATTTTATTGACGTGTTCAATGATGACATGAAACAAGTGTTTTTTTTGTGTTATCACAAATGAACAAAAAGGTATATCAGCGCAAAAACGGGAAAGATCAGACGGTTATTCCTGGAGCCAGACGAACTCAGGGGAATATCATCTTCTTACAGCATTTTTGTTTGTGTATGTGTTTGCCTCAGTATGCCCCGGTGATGCTCACACTCCTTGGCAGTGCTTTAATGTAAGGCAGGAATCGCTGGAACAGGAACAACTGGCTTTTCTTGTTCTACATTCACCCACAAAAAAAAATGGCTCAATTTGTCTGTGTTTTCAAGACTGAGATTAGAAAGTCTGCATTCCTCAAGTGACTGGCCATTTAGCTCCAGACGTAGGTGTACATTCACATCCTCCACACACACACACACACACACACACACCCTCCCCCAACTGGTTGGGTTCTTAGCCTGGTGTGGGTCACATGCCCGGCCCCCTCCTGACTTGGGTCAACCCCCCCCTAAGGGCTTCACCACCACTTGCATGGCCTGCCGTCATTAAACTCTGACGGATTAGTGGGAGACTCCAGCCCACAAACCTAGCAGCCTCCTGGGCCCACCCTGGATGTCCCACAAATTCCATATGGGCGAGACATTTCAGAGCAAGGACAGATCAGGACAAGACTGGAGAAGAGGGAGAGATGGCGAAAAGACATGAAGGCACATTTAGGATTCTGCCTCCGGGTCTTGTAACAAATAGAAACGTATAGAGGAATCTCTTCTCCTTGTTTGCATCCCCTACTTGTACAAGAATGACGGGTGAGCAAACGGGAACCTGGGGGCCGCTGCAGGCCCTGCAAGGCCTGAAGATGAGGGAAGCAGTTTCCAGGTAAAGAGCAGAACTACAGAATTGGTGTCCCCCAATGCAAACTCCATGAGTTTCTTAAATTATGTTTGCTGAGGCTTTATGGGTTGAGCAATAATTGGTACTACTGCTACTCTGGTTACATGAGGATTGTTGTTTATTGATTTGATTGATTGAGTCCACTGTAAAGGCAGCTAAATGTCTGCAGCACTTGAGTCTAGGGTCATTTTCTCCAAGGGGACAGTAAAGTGTTTGGTATGGTATAGTATCATATGGTGTTGTGGTATTGTGTCATATTTTATCATATTGCATGGTATGGTGTTGTTTCATGTTGTACCATATCATATCGTCATCATACCTTTCCAGCTTTTTGAGTCTTTTGGTTTCTCTTCCCTGCTTTTTGTTTCTGCTAACCATCCTTATCCTCTTAAAGACCTCATTGTAGTCGTTCATCTGCCTGTAATGGAGATTAGTAACGCCCTGAAAAGGAGAAGTAGAAGCCCCTTTTTGGCTGTTGCTCAGAGGTTTGCTCACACACACCTTGGCGTCCACAGAACCGTATCTCGCTCTTGTGCTGCTCGCTTATTTTCGGATAACTTTTTTGCCTCTCTGAAGCGTTCAAGGATGAGCCAGTTTCCTAAAGATAGCTCGGAAATAAAATCCTCTTGACTTTATTCTGCTAACAACCATTGTCACCCATATCACATGGGCACTCATCGGCGGATCCCGGGTGTTTACAGCTGAACCGGTCCACTTGACTTTGAATCATTGCTGTCTTGAAGGGCCCTCTTCACGGCAGGATATGGGAGACTTACGACTAGACTAACAACAACAGCAGACGATGACTGGTGCCTGCAGATTTACAGCTCAGCTGCGTATTCTTTCTGCACATTACTCAGCGCTGTGAGAACATACAAGCGTGTGTGTATGTCAGAGGCAGATGATGCAAACAGGCAGGAATGGCAGATTTTTTTCAAGTCTGGACGTGTTGTTTGGACAGTCACGCTCAGGTTGAGATGCCTCCACGGTCCGCGGGGTAAAGTTTCAGAACTGGGTATGTTGTTGTTTGCATTCATGTGCTACTCACATTACCAACTCTGGACTGCACAGCTGGAGCCGGCAAAAGCCAGTACACTCAGAGAGCCAGCTGAGTGATTGCAGTCTGTTTGCAGATCAATTCACTCTCTTCTAATCATGCAAGCATCCAGCCACGCCTGCATCAAGTGCTTTAATTTGGTGCA